TTGATACAGATGGTACTCCAGCACTCAGCAGAATATTTTAATCAACCAATGTAGCTATTGAAACGTAACCTATGATTTTCATATTCATAGGACTCGATTATCTGATGGCCGAATCAAACCTCATATATGTTTAGATTTATATTTATTGTGCATTTCGGCTACCACGATCGCCTCTTCCAGCCACTTGAAAACAGAAATTTAAACATACGTTAATGGACAAAAGTATATAGACAAATATGAATATTTACCTAAATACCTTTAGAAAACGAATTCATACTTCATTGCTCCATGAACAAATGCTTTATTAGTAGAAAAACTAAATTCCTTGTTTTTACATTATCTGCAATGAACATAATACAAGTCTGAATATAAGCACTTTTTTATGAGGGAAACAAATATGTAGACAAATTCTTTTCAACATTAGTTTAGTACAGTTTCGTGTCAGAAGAGGATTAGTTTGTGTTCATCAAGTATTGTGGAATAAGTTGAGTGATTTTAAGATCATGCCGCGTGGTCCAGAAATTTCTTTCGATGTGAAAACTAAGATCATTGAATTATACAAAGATGGTCAACATTAAGTCGACATTGCCAAACATTTGAAGCTGAAGCGTAAAGCAGTTTGGGCAAAATTGAACAAATATAAACAAAAAGGTATCTTGGAAGCCTCTAAGCAAATCTATAGGAATACTTAGATAAGCAAATACGAGATAAAAATTATTCAAACAAGGATGAACTTTTTGCCGCTTTATAGCAAAAGTGGAGGCAGATTGATGAATCTTATATCAAGAAACTTCTACAATCTATGCCGAGACGATGCCAGGCGGTGATTGATATTAATGGTTATGCTACAAAATATTAACACAAACATGGTTGGTTTTCTATAATTCAATGAACTTTGCTTCTTTTTTCTATAATTGTTTCGCTTTGTTTACATATTTGTGTCCTTCATAGTTCGTTTTTTCAATTAATTTTTAATAGAAGGGAGTCTAATGAATTTATTTATGTATAAGTGAGTATTATGCTATAACGGATTATGTATGCAGGTTGGTGTATTAATAAAACAAGTTAAAAAAATACAGCACAATATTAATTTGTCTATATACTTTTGTCCATCACTGTACGTACATGTACAATATGTATATGTACAATGGAGTTCTATTTTATTCAATCCTTAGAAAAATTCATAACAGAATAAAAAGTAAGATTAATAGTATAAATACAAAATACTTTATTTCCGAGGATACAGATACACATGCGATACATGAAAAAGTCAGATAAAAGAGAAAGTTATATTACAAGTTTCTTTGAATAATAATTGTCGCAACAAACAGTTGATTATCCCCAATAAGCATATCATAGATGCATTCATGCAAAACACTCTTCAAGTGAGTAATTAGCCTTGAAAATCAGAGGCTTTGTAAGTGTTTTTTTTAAGAGTTGATAATAGGGATATTTTTTATATCTTCATATATTTTAATAGACATCGAATATTGTCCATTAATGGAAGTATTACTCAATTTTGGCAAAGAAATTTGGTGTTTTGTCTTGGTATTAGTATTTTAGTGATGGAGTCTCTAGTTAGATAGTCATTCAGAACATACAGGGCACTATAGTAGATGTATATAGATATAACAGTATTTTATACGAGACACAATACCGTCTTTTCTCCGAATTCGAGCTATTTGTCTCACGATATTATTTTGTACTTTAAGTTAGATCAATTTGCCCGCGGTTTATTCCATAGCCAAATCGAGGATATACTTCTCCATCGTATTAGTATACTTTTATCTCAAAGATAAATTCTCAGTTTTCTAAAAAGAAACAACGGTGTATGATTTTCCCAGTCATGTTTATGATCTAGTTTCACTCCTAAGAAATCTACACATTTTGTTCGTTCTAAAGTTTTTCCGTAATTAAACCTTATCAGGATACTACTAAAAATTGTATTAAATACGTTTTCCCTGTATTCGAGGTCAAATAATTCTCATTTGCCAAATTTCGTAGATCAGTTGCGATGTTCTTACCGTTGCTAGAGGCTTTGCATCTGGTTGATTTAAGTAGAAACTTGTCAGTCATCCACGTACAAAACTGGAAGAGTGTGGCCCACGAATGGATGGTAAGTCGTTGTTCGTGAGTAAAAAGTTTTATATAAAACCGTGTTGGAGAATGGTAATTATTTCATTTTTATCTATATCATCAAGCAATAAGCCTTGAGAAATATCTTTCCCAGCTGCCATTGAACTGCCATAGGTTCATACACAGCAAAGGATCACCCTTCTACTTAAATATGGATGTAAATATTATTTTCCTCATATGAAAAATATGGGAAGTCTGTGTCGGTAGAAGCTGAAGAAATTCAGTATAGGAGGTGTTTTAATGTTATCACCCTGTAGCGACACGTACCATATTTATTTACACTAGACTAAGTAGAAAATAAGGCATAAGCTTCGAGTTGCACAACTATTTCTTACGCCTCGAACTTCTAAAAATAGCCTTGGAGTTATGTAAAAAATCCAGATTATCCTCACTCACAGACGCAGGTATGATCAGCATAAAATTTACATCTAACGTGATTCAACATTATAATCGTATACTAGGTTACAAAGATATTAATGCTTTGTAATGCCTTTAACTATCATCATGTAGTATTGTCATGGAAAGGTCAATCGCATAACAAATTTGAAGAGGTAGACCAACGCACGTGGATGGCTTCTAAGAAGACTTCTGTCACAATAACTGTTTCTTAACTCTGATCAGTCAACTGTGTTGTTACTTTAGGCGCACCACATATATCACGTACCACTCACTTAATTAATTTATAATCTCAACAATCCCTCTTTATTCCTCAATTATTGGTTCAACAGTTCAATAACGCCACACAGAGTTGAATGACTACATACCGGAGCTAATAATAAAAAATTAGGGGAATCAAGTCCGGCGGTCCTGAAAGCTATGGAACGTGGCTAAGGCCTCAGATCGATGTCTATGAATAATTTTGAGTAAAATATGCTCAGACTAAGCAAGAATGATGTGCTAATCTATATACGTCGAATTGCAAGCAAATGTCTCCAAAATGTTGCTTTATTAAGAGAGAGAGGCATCCAACTGCTAAGCCAGGAGCTAAGCGGTCTGATGCGTAGAAAATCCAGATACACCTCTTGCCTTTGTTTTGGTCGATATCATTTTACCACTTTTACTACATACTTTGAGATGGGTGAAATAAAAAAAATCCATTTGCTGCAACATGACAATACTCCGGCGCGTTACACTCAGCCAGACCGAGGCCACTTAGATCACAAACACTCATAAAGATGGATCTAGTGTCTTGGCCCTCTTCCATGGCCATCAAGATCGCCTCACGTGAATTGAACTAACCTCGATCATGCTTGTGTAGGATTGCCATCAATCTGGCTTTAACCGGACACATTTTTTTTTCGGTCTTGTCCTGTCAAGTTTCTATGCGACCAGGTCGCCCGAGGTCGTACTGCGTGCCGTATTCAACACAGTTTTTTGTATTATATAATAACAATCATAATAAACAGCTTTATTTATGACGAAAATGTATATTCGACCAAGGGCGGATCGAGGGGAGGTCATGCAAGCAAGATCGACCCACTGCCCCCCCCCCCAGGCTCTTCAACTTATAATTGCCAATATGACGTGAATCCTGTGAGCAGCACTGCACCCCTCCCCTTCACTCTCATTAAGTGATGTTACAAGTCTACTAATAGGTCGCCGCGCACTGCGCGGGTTCGAATCCCGTTTCAAGAGAATTTTTCACTTGGCTACGAATGTTGTGATTGTCTTTAGGTAGTAGACGGTCTCTGACTCAAATGCGGAGGTACCACCCGGCGGATCACTACGGCGGGGCCAGAATGAATGCATGTGGCTTCACACGTGTTCTCTCCCGAGAGTCCTTGTGGCGTCCCCCACTTTCCCCCGTATCACTCTATAGCTCCACGGTACACATAAGTTTTTAGGCATTCGTGGTGGTTCAAGTATGAAAAGAAAACAAAGGCTGGACTCTCCCTTGTGTTCTGCTCTAGGTATAAAAGTTATCTCCAGCTGTTAAAGAAGATAATGTGCGGCTTTGAGGGCCAAATTTAATGTTCGACCAAATACAGCTCGGAGTGCGGCTTTGCTATTTTAGGAAATGGCAAACTTCTTGCAATCTTTAGAAGATATTTGAATAGGCACAGGGCATGGTGGTCACCTTGAACACATACTTTAATTATTATAATCAAAATAACAATAAACTTGTCCTCTTTTGTAACTATGCCATGAAATAAGTTTTTTTGTAGATGCGAGATCTGACATATAAGCTCAATTTAAAAAATTATAGCAAGGTGTGAATAATAACTATAGCATTTTATCATTTTTGTTCTAATTGGCGCAGTGATCATACTTCATTTTTTCACACTACAAGGTGGCAAAGTCAGATGTGAAAATGGGTTTTCATGAAAATACAGAATTCAGAATAGACATGTGGGCACTGGCCATCTTACGAAAAAAATTATGTTGGTTGCGAGGGAAGAATTATGAGTGTTTTGCAACAAACTTAGTCCACAAAAGAAAATATTTGTAGAAAGAAAGCAAGATTAACTGAACAGAGGCCAGTTAATTAACAAAGAAAATAAATATTGGAATAATTTAAAAAAATCGCCGTATTCCTTCCAAGGCCTGGTAGGCGAGCTTAAATGTAATAAGTTTCACCCGCAATATGTATAGTCAAAAAAATATTTGTCACTGCAAATAAAATCAGGAAAAATTAAAAAGATTTTGTGAAAATTAGGTTTTTTTCGGAAGTACTTTAAATTTCGAAACTTTCTGTTGCATTGTGTTGATTACCCAAATGCGCAACGTTGCTCCTATATAAACGACTTCGTATCTCTTACAATTTCAGAGATCCCAATAGTGGGGGACGAATTTGAAACACCATGTATATGCCATATTTATACCTACCTCACAGAGTAAATAAGCATCAATTACTACCAACATACCCAGGCATTATGGTGAAATACATGTATAGGACTTCGGTTTTGCAGGTCAATGCGATGGTTGCGTAGGTTTCTAACCGTTGCTTGAAGGCTCGCCATCCTCATATCCACTTCTGCACACTTTCTTTTAGCACTTCGAGTAACGTTAATGTGAAACACCTAAAAATCTTTCCCAATTAGCATAAAGGTGATTAATTGTCTCTCGCGCAGCTGTATGTGCTTTTGTCTTTGCTTTGGACTGTGAGACCAAACATACACATACAGGGGGGTCCTTAATTATGCGCCAAAAAGCAATCCTAAATTAAACTATTATTAGAAAGATAATTCGTGACCACTGTGTGGATATTCAGCGGTTCTTACAGAAGAACCACTGTGTATGCATTGCTCGTTCGCATGATTCATGCACTATCGTAGGTGGTAGACGGTGTCTCCGTGGTGGTTCAAGTATGAAAAAACCTATGAGTATGAGGCCATAGACCATTTTCTTAGTTGAGAATTTCTGAAAATACGATTTTGGTGGGAATACCGAAAACTCTTCCTACAGTTCTTCCACAGTCGCAGATGTTCGCGCCTGCTTCATAGTATAGCTCTTGGCGAGTATTGACGGTGAAATTGCTCTGCTGCTGCAGGGCTACTTTGCGCTTTGGCAATTTATAATTACATATATAAGTAAAACTAAGACAATTGAAAAGAAGTGGAAAAACACAACCACTCCCGGCACTCGCTCTGAGGCAACTGAGCCACCAGCAAATGAGGAGCCTAGTCATGTTCGCGATATGTTCGCGCCTTGTGAACCCTTTTTCGCGGGACAACCAACGGGAACAACGCGCAAACGCGACGTGAACCCGCGAAGAATACGCGAATGGGATGCACATTTATGGGTCGCGGGTAGTTTGCGGCTTCGTGCGCGATCCGCGCGTGAGTCTGGAGAGGGTATTAGAAATAATTATGAGAGAGGTTACGGAAGGTTGTCATGTTTAAAAATGGGTCTGACCACCCTGTATAACAGCGCACGTTGTTTAAGCTAGGTTTTAACTTCTCTTGTTTACACTTCCAACATACAAGGGAAAATGATCGTTTCCTCGGTTGAGCGGCCAAGAAAAACTAGGCTCGACATACACATAGTAGATATTTATCGTTTGCTATCGTAACCTATAAAACGGTTGAAAAAACATTAGAAAGTACACTGCCCGGTAGAGAAAGAAAAAATACAGACGGCAATACGAATGTGACACCATACACAACAACGTCTATGTACAGACCGTACATACACTGCCGGACAGAATTAGACTTCTACTTCTCATGTTACTTCTCATACATGTACGGTAACAGCTGAAAAGCGCTACAGCTTTGAAATGTTCCGGTCAAAATAACTTGATCGATTCGTAAAATTTTTAGATAGCTGCTACACGCATCTACATCTGAAATTACCTTATGGAACCACATTTTTTTGTAATATAAGACAATTTTGATGAGGGGAAACATGTGTTAAAACATGTTGCATAGGATGTCGATGTTAACTAAAATATTCTTGCATATATGAGCATATAGTTGGCTGCCTTGTCGTCTTTGAGACTCGTTGCCAAAAGTAAATTTCTAATTATTGCGGAGCGGAGAAACATACAGTAATGGACAAAAGTATATAGACAAATTAATATTGTGCTGTATTTCTTTTTTAACTTGTTTTATTAATACACCAATCTGTATACATAATTCGTTATAACATAATACTCACTTATACATAAATAAATTCATTAGACTCCTTTCAATAAAAAATTAATTGAAAAAACTGGAACTATGAAGGCAAAAATATATAGACAAAGCAAAACAATTATAGAAAAAAGAAGCAAAGTTCATTGAATTATAGAAAACCAACCACGTTTGTGTTAATATTTTGTAACATAACCATTATTATCAATCACCGCCTGGCATCGCCTCGGCAGAGATTGTAGAAGTTTCTGGATATAAGATTCATCAATCTGTCTCCACTTTTGCTCTGAAGCGGCAAAAAGTTCGACCTTGTTTGATAATTTTTGTCTCGTATTTGCTTATCTAATAGATATATAATAGATTTTCAATGGAGTTTATATCGGAAGACTGTAAAGCCATTTGAGAACTGGTATTTTTTCATGCAGAAAGAATTGCTTTGCGAGATTTGAAGTGTGCTTCGGGTCATTATCTTGCTGGAAGATTGATCTTAAGGGCATATTGCCTTCCATATAGGGTAACATGACATGCTTTAGTATGTCTGTGTATACAAACTTATCCATAATGCCATCTATTTTATGTAAAAGTCCCATCCCAAACCCCGAAAAGCATCCCTAAACCATAACACACCCGCCCCCATGTTTGACAGTGGGCAAAGTGTACTTGGGGTTCAATCTTTGTCCACTAGGACGTCTAACGTAATGAACACCATCTGATCCAAACATATTGAACTTGGATTCGTCACTGAAACATACCCTCTTCCAGTCACAGATGCTCCAATCCAGATGCAACCGTGCAAATTGTAATCGGTCCTTACGGTTTTACCTCGAGATTAGCGGCTCCTTACTCGGGCGACGTGCAAATAACTTCAAAAAATTTAATCTTCTACTTATAGTTTTCGTAGAAACACTGACAATTCCTTTGGTCTCGATTTCGGCTTTCATTTGTGTTGGGGTTTTAAAAGGATCTTTCGACGAAATTACTTTTATTAATCTAACTGATCTAGCATTTAGTTTTTTAGGCCGACCACTTCTCTTAGAGGCTTCCAAGATACCTTTTTGTTTATATTTGTTCAATATTGCCCAAACTGCTTTACGCTTCAGCTTCAAATTTTTGGCAATGTCGACTTGTCATTAACCATCTTTGTATAACTGAATGATCTTAGTTTTCACATCGAAAGAAATTTCTGTACCACGCGGCATGGTCTTAAAATCACTCAACTTATTCCACAATACTTGATGAACACAAACTAATCCTCTTCTGATACGAAACTGTAATAAACTAATGTTGAAAAGAATTTATCTACATATGTTTGTCCCTCATAAAAAAGTTCTTATAGTCAGACTTGTATTGTGTTCATTGCAGATAATGTAAAAACAAGGAATTTAGTTTTTCTACTAATAACGCATTTGTTTATGGAGCAATGAAGTATGAATTCGTTTTCTAAAGGCATTTAGGTAAACATTCATATGCGTCTATATTCTTTTGTCCATTACTGTAGTTGTGACAAATAATCATGACATGACCGCCAGGATATCTCATAACATCTCGAATATATTTTTCAACGCCGAAATACAGTATACATAATTTGTATAAGATAGAGTTCTCAAAATAATAATTAACAGTACCTCAAAACAACATGCTGTTAGGACACTCTGTACATTTTCACAGTTAAATCCCACTATTTGCATGTGTATGTGTTCTAGTCAATAGCGTTTATGTGGTGACATTATTATGGGAACGGGTTTAAAAATGCAACTTGTTCACTTAATCTGTTAAAGTGGTCGAATATGAGTTGACATACTTTCATGTTTTTTAGACAAGCAAATGGTTCTCAAAACTACTCGTCAAAACGCAGAAGTATTCAGTATTCTAAATGAGTTTCAACCGTTGAAATTGATTTCGATAGTGCCTTGTAAAGATATACTTGATTAGCTATGATAATTCTGACACTGCCATCGAAATCAATTTCAATGGTCGAAACTCATTTAGAATGCAGCCCCTGGTCTATCCAAAAATCTAATCAAAAATATAGATGACTACGAAAAACAACTGATATCCAGCTCAGTAGAGGAGCGCCTGAATATTTCTGAAATGTATTGCCACAGGAACGATGCAGGTTTCTAGAAAATTTTGTCTCGGAGCAATAATCCATCCATGCAAATTTGGACCACCCTATGCCTAAATAATACCACACGCTAGGCAGCAGCGGTGGCCGCAGTAGTAGACTCTTCGGTCTCCTGATCAGTCGCCGTGCGCTGTGCGGGTTCGAGTCCCGTCCAGGAGAAATTTTTATCTTGGCTATGGATGTTGTGATTGTCCGTAGGTGGTAGACGGTCTCTGACTGTCGAACGTGGAGGTACCACCCGGCGGATCTCGTAGGCGGAGCCAGAATGTGTGCATCTTGGATGCACACGTGTTTCCTCGCCAGAGTCCGTGTGGCGTCCCCCTTTCCCCTGTATCCCCCTATAGCTCCAGGGTGCCCAATGGGTGTTTAGGCCTTAGGCCTTCATGGTAGTTTGAGTATAAAAAAAAACAGTATGAACTGCTCAACTTGCTATATCGGAAACTACCCGTGGAACATCTTCAGGCCCATGGGCACTGCTGTGCTATCAAAGTTGTAATAAAAAAATATTCGAGAGACATTTCCCATAAGGTTCCTGGGGTGTAATTTATTGTAATGGAAACGTACTTTTAGCTGCATGCGGACTCGACAACGCCAAAACAAGAGACCCGATGATTTTGTCCACCAGTATATGTCTGATAACATTTATTAACATTGAACGGTCGGATTTATGCATCTGCGCTGGATACGTCTCGATTGTTTTCCGTTTCCGTTTTAGGCCAATCAACCGGGAAAAATGCAATTTCACATCTACAAAGCAGACGTAGTTGAGAGCACGGGCTCGGACGAGTTTACACGCATCGTGCATACGGAACCGGACAAACATACGTAAGTAAAGCCAGCCATATACGCTTGGGATACCTGACAGGTTAGCCTAGATGGTCATACCCGTCAAGTAAAGTTAAGGTAAATGCTGAGTAGAGAGCAAAGATGTAGCGGTAAACCAAGGCCCTTCTGTACAGTCACCGAACAGCTGACGCCTGCAAACATTCAGAATTTTCAAAATTTGTATTTTATCTGGTATGGAAACCTGCTCCGTTGTACCATTTACACCCTCAGTTCAAATCTCCTTGCAAACTTGCCAGATATACCCTGGCGTGTATGGCTGACTTAAGGTATAGATTTCATGTAAGAGAATGACAAATGAGAAATATACAGGGTGATGAATATAAATAGTGCAAATATTGTCAGATATTCCATTTTACATAAGTAAGTAACTAATAACGAATCGAACTTTTATTAAAATTATGCTTCACTCCAGGCTTTCCGTAAGATACTGCTTGAGTTGTATGTTCAAGATAGGGAGAAAATTACGATTACGATCAAC